AGTTTGAGGCCAGCCTGGTCTACAAAGCGAGTTCCAGGAGAGGCATAAAGCTACACAGAGAAACCCTGTCTCGGGGGAAAGAAAAGAAAAGAAAACCCACAGAGACAGAGGGAGAGAGAGAGAGAGAGAGAGAGAGAGAGAGAGAGAGAGAGAGAGAGAGAGACATATAGACAGACAGACAGTGCAGAAAACAATTGGGAGTGTGTGTATTTACAGCTAGTTGTTTGTATGGACCAACTGTCATCATTTGTGTAGACTGAGGTCTAGGCTATGCTAAAATCAGTATTGCACTTTTCAACAAGATGACACCGAAGGTCCCTTCAAAGCCAAGGCTTTGATACCTATGAAAGCTATGCTGAAAGGCAGCCACAGACATATTAAAACTCTACCTTACGCCACTGCCCTCTGCAACCCAGAGAGACTGAGGAGCTCCAGGAGAAGCCCAAATGCCCTTGGAAGAGTGCATCAGAAGAAACAAACTTGGCCGCCCTGCTGACCTTGAGTCCTGGCCACCCTGTGTGTCATACAGGAGATAGAAGACAACAGCATACTTTGTTTATTTTGAAGATCAAGGCCAACAAGCAAGACTGCCCAGAAGTTGTAAGACTCAAATTCCAGGACTCTGATTCGTCCAAAGTCAAGGACCCAATCAAGCCCAAAGGGCAGAAGAAGGCGGATGTTCCACAGGCTCTTAACTATGATGCTTCAGATTTGACAATAAAATTAGGAGCTTCTGAATTGAACCAGCTGACTAATTCTCAATACCCATTTTTCACTATTGAAAGAGTGTTGGATCCTTGACATGAAAGATTTCCAACCAAGAGAGAATTCTATTTTGTTTGCTTGTTTTGTTTTCTACAAAAACTTGGAGTAGTTGGTGTGTGAAAGAATGTCTCGTACCTCACTGCTTTTGAAGGAAAGAGCAGAAGGTGGAAACCCTCTTCTTTGCACCCCCAACCCCAGAGGTGTCACTGCAAGACAGGTCAGGTTTGGTGAGACTACCTATGAGCTCCAACAATGGAGTCTGTGGGCAACTGGGCATGACTGAGGTCCTCCTGGACACGAAAGACTCAGGGACAATGACGCCAACTATCTTTGTTTGCCCTGGATTCATTTTCCCTCTTGACTATTATGGACCCAACCTGTCAATCTTTAGGTTTTTATGTTTTCGTAAGTCAGACCTCTGAGACTGAAGCCCTCCAGCTACTAACAGTAGAAGCTCCTTCTGCCCTCCAGATAAAGTGCAATATTTATGGTTTCAGAAAACATAGGTAATACGGCAAGGACTGCACGGGTCTGTACAGCTGGTCTTCCTTTGATTTTATTGGTGTTTGCCCATGGGCTGTATTGGTTGGTGTTTTCATTACCAAGAACCAGAAGAAAAGAAATGTGATTGCCTAGCTTGTTGTTTAGGCACTTTTAAGGCAAGAAACCCTTTAGAACTGGAAGTAAGGTCTGGATTCCCAAGCCATCATCATTTTGCTTCATAATGGCTAGTGAAGTGCCTTGGATAATAATATAGTGATTTCAGAAGGGCACACCTATCTGTGTGTGGGGGACCAGCCCCCACCTTTACCTGGATACTCTCGAGAAGTAAGGGATAAGAGATTTAGATAGAAAGATAGAGGGGAGAGAGAAAGAAACACAGGGTAGACTCGGAAGGGCCTGGATC